GGCAACATTCATGCATCCAATACTATTTTAATATAGTGGTCATCTAAAGGAGAATGTTGAAAATATTGAATAGGTTGATGACCACCCCACCTATAATGGAGGTGGATGGCCATCCCAAGTTGAACCCTTTTGTCCTTTTGTCCCCTGATATTGACCTATAAAAGGCTTCCAAAATGGACGGAAGAAATACACTCAACAATTCAATATACACTCTCCCTCTCTTTCTCTCTCAATACTCTCTCTCTCTGTTTGTTTATTTAAACTAGTTATTTGCACAAACATTAATTTACTAATTTTATATCACGTTCCACATTATAGGATTTGAATACTGACATTGCATTTTATTTGTCCCATCTTTAACCATTGACAAAATCATCAATGTATCTGGTGTCAATTAAATAAAAGGATGCCCAACTTTGGTCACATCTTTGGCTACTTGATGACTTGGCCACTTATGTAGGTGGCTATGCATCCCCATTAATGCACGACCACCCCATGTCTTTTCATTTATAAGATCCTCATTGGTGTTAACACTTGTGGACATTTCACTCCACGTGTCCTTCGCACAAAGTGCCAAAAGATAGAAGAAATTGAGAAATAAGCCATTGCCTACGAAAAAAGAGAAAAAAAAAGGATAACACAATTATATATTTTAAGTGGGTTGACAATATGTTTAAAAAATGCCTTAGTTTTTATAATCAACTTTGATTCTATGTTACAGAAAGTTGGTTTTTTTTAATCTTTCTTTTCCCCCACATGTATCGTTTAATAAGAGATTTTCTATTTCTCCTGTTCTTTGATTTACTTGTTAAATTTTATTTTTCTTGGTCTTATCTCATGTTGTGAATTAATTAATAAATGTTGATCTATCATTATTCAATTGCACATTTTTATTTAGCATGTTTTACCAGCAACAAAATATTTTCTTTGTGAGTCAGTAAAAAATATTTTTTTTTATGGGAGAGATACTATTTCACCAATCGAGCTACAAGTATCTAACTTTTTCATACCTAACGATTTTTCATAAAGGATGACGAAACATATAACTTACACAAATATTTCCATTTTTCAAGTCGATTCAATCCATTTGTTGGTAGAGCTATTAAACTCTATTGTAGACGTTTCTGGAATATCTCTAACGGATGAAAAAATAGTCAATTTTGAAAGAACTTATTGTCAATATCTTTTAGATATGAATCTATCTAATTTAGAAGGGAAGAACTTGTATTAATATTTCAATATCAATTCAACTATAGGTTTGATTCACACTCCAAATTCTAAAAATATTTATCATTCGAAAATGGAAAAAACAAAAAAATTTCCTAAAGAAATACGTTGAAAAATGGCAAATGTATTGCTTGAGCACCTAAAAACTATAAGTGAGAGTGATTCCACTACTGCTCATTCCATATCTTTTGCACACTTATTAATAGATCAATTTTTAATTCGAAAAATCTCCAACAATGTCGTTTCTTAGGTTACGTAAATTCGGATTCTTCACACCGATTGGCTGCCTCTAACCTTTTTTCTCATTGTCAAAAAGGTGGTGTCTAAATTTCATCGACTAAATAAACTCTTATTTACTTATTTTTCATGCACTTGAATTTTAATATATCAACATTCATTCCTAATTATAAGTACATAAATGTAAGATCAAATTAAATCATTATTTGATGAAATTCAAAATTAATTTCTTAAAATTCAACTAAATTGCCTTATTTAGACCTGATATTTAATTCATAATGAACTCAACATGTATTGTAAACACAAAATCTAGTAGATATTTTTTTGATCTAATGTCATTTCCCTTGACCTTAAATATTTTTTAGTATCAATATTTTATAGGCGATTCTAGAAGACATATTATTATTATTATTATTATTATTATTATGGGGTTGGGGATTTTGGAGAGACTTGACAATCAAAACAAAGAATAGCGCAGCGGTGGAGTCCATGCAAAGAACCTAGGATGCCAAGTGGAATATCCATCTCTAAGGTCCCAAATCAATATTATATTATATATGGCTCTATCTCCTTGTCCCATTTCCTACCTTGAATTTTGGCAATACCAGGGGAACTTTGGTGACGTCAAAACACAAACTACAAAAATTTCTTCCTACCCGCCGTTTCTTCTTTCACAGCTTTACCCTTTCTTTTAGCCAAATTTTCCTTCTTAGAATTAGAAGAATTACTATCTCGGTGAATAAAATTCAACTCTAGAAGTGAAATTTGATTTATCTAATGCATATGATAGTATTGTGAATATCAACTTAAATTTCATTTATGACTCTAAATCAATATAATAAAATGTAATACAATTCAAATTTTAAAAGATAAATAAAATAATTTTTATTTTTCACGGTTGAGATTTTTTTAAATTTTATTTTATAGTTAATCCGATGGCTAATATTAATACCTCAAATTTAATATGAAAAATAAAACCCTAAAAGCGTGTTTAGAATAACTTTTGAAAAATATTTTTAGGATTTATAATTTCTCATAGGTATTTAAAAAAAAAATTAGTGTTTGGAACCGCCCCACCACCACCATCACCATCACCATTATCCCCCGCCACCGCCACTGCCACCGCCAATCCACCACCACCATCTCTGCCACAACAACTACAACCATCACCACTGCTACTGCCGCCACCCCACCACCACTACCATCCGCCACCATGATCATCACTACCACTGCTATCACCACCACCGTTGTCGCCACCCCCACCACCGCCCCACCACCACCCTTACACTCACGACCATCACAACCACTACTGCCACCACTCCACCATCACCTCTTTACCAACAACCACCATCATCGCCCCAGCATCACCACTGTTGCCACACCCACCACCATTACCCTCCATCTAACCCTACCACCATCACTCTCATCACCACCGCCACCGCCACCGTTGTTGCCACCTTACCACCACCGTCATTGTCCCACCATCACTAGCGTTGTCACTATCTTATCGCCATCGTCACTATCCCACCATCACCCTTACTAGCACCACCTCCATCACCCCCCACCATCACTATCACTGTTGCCATCCATGGCAGCCACCATCACCAACGGTCGTCGTCACCCATCACAACCATTACTGTCTTCCACTGCCAACCACCCCCACTATCACTGCTCACCCCATCAAATTCGGTGCTTAAATTCCTTTCTTTTTCTTCTATCTTTGAGAATTGATTTTGGGTGTGAATTCAAATATGTTTTATCGTTGATCATTTTTTTATTACACCATACCTTCAGGGTACGAAAAATAACTAATTTAAAATAATATATTTAAATTTCATATATTTGAGACTATTCTTCATTTTCTAAAGAAATGACAAATGACTTTCCTAAAATGCATTAATTAGTCAAAAAATAAACGTTTCTTTCCTTTCTGTAAAGATCAATGTACATCCACAAACTCAATGTGGAGGAAAATATTCATATCCCAATAAAGGGTTTTGTTTGAACAAAAGGCAACAAAAAAATGAATTTGGTTTTTCCTATTATAGAAATAATTTGGAAAATATTTTTAAATTGAAATCTAGGATTTTTTTCAAGGACAATTATATTAAAAAATAGGGCCGTCACAAGACTACTTGAAGACCTAGATAAAAATTTTAGATGAAAACCTTAAATTATTTTTAGATGAATAATTTGGTTATTTTTGTTGTTTAATTTTAAATATTTAAATTCTCATCTTTTATTAGGTATATTTAAGGTGGAAAATAACTTCCAAAATAATTACATTATGTGAATGATTACATTAAAATCAAAATTATAATTGAAGAAAATTAAACTAAATAAATAGGTCAATATTATTGAGAGTTCAAACAAAATGAAAGAGTAGTCATGTAATTTTTTGTATAACAATATGGTGCAATCTCTTTTTTTTTTCTTTTTTAATGTACATATATTTATGATTTAAAAAAAATATTTTTAAAATATTTTGATCTTTCGATGTGATCCTAATTTTTTTTAATTTTTTTAAATTTATTCATAGTATTTTAAGAGACATACATAAATGTGGGTCTTAGACAACCACCTCACTTATTTAAAGGTGGAGCGGTGGAGCAGACGCTGTTAAAAGCGTGTCCGAAAAGTAAAATCATAGTAATTATTGTTATTATTATTATTTTTTGACAATTCTATATGATATTTTGTTAGACTAACAATACACAACGTGTATTGCTGCACGTAAATAAAATTAAAATATATGTTTTTTTATAAAAATATAAATTATATTTTAATTAAATTAAATAATAAACTAAGTGCCAAATAATTAATCCATATTTTAATTATTACTAAATTTAATTATTAATCTACTTTATAAGTCTTTGAGTTCCCGTTATTTATTTAGGTATCTCTCTAACCTTTTTAGGTATTTGTACATCTAATTATATTATAAAATTATAAAATTTTATTTTGCTAAATAAATTGATTAGTTCGATTATAATATTATTATATAATTACATACCAAAAAATAAAATGTAACATATATTGGATAGTGAAATTCAATCTAATAACTTCATGTATAAAATAATTTAACATATATAAGACTTTACTTTTTTATATAGATATATAAAATCGTATATAACTGTATTATTAATAAATAAGTTCAAAAGAATTTAAAATTTCTTATAAAAGAGTTCAAGAAAAGTTGAAATTCAAATATGAGTAAAAAAAAAATTAAATGATAATATGTAAGTGGATATAATTAACTTTATTATAATAATCAGGGATAAAATAAAAAATCAGAATTGTTTTGTACATACTATTGTTAACTAGATTGATTAGTTGTTTTATAATATTATTATATAATTTAAGACCCCATGCCATCCATGAAATCCTCGAAGTAGTTTTACTCAAAAACAATGGAAGGCTGATAATGTCATTGAAGGAAAAACTAGGGGCATTTGGTTGGTACAATACGCCATCACGTGAAACCATTATGCATAAAATCCCCCAGCCGGTTTCCTTGTCCCACCATCTCTCTCTCTCTCTCTCTCTCTCTCTCTCTCGCGACAAAAGAAAAGCTTTGAAGAAGGAAGAAAAATGGCTCTGAAGCTCAATGCTCTCACCTTTCAATCCAAGAAGTGTCCTTCTTTTGCTCTGCCACCAATGACCTTCGTCAGATCTCCCAAGTTTTTCATGGCGTCGACCTTTAGCTCAGGCTCAAAGTGAGTTATGTTCTATGTTTCTGCTAGATTTTTGTTACAACTTTGGATCTTTCTCTGAATTTATGATCTTTGTGTTTTTCATTGTCAGGTCGTCTGCATTTTAGCTCCAATTCGTTTTTGAAATGCTTTAATCTGCATGGGCTTTTTGCAGTTTTGATGTATTTTATTGCTAGTTGATGAATCGATCATTTCTGATTAATGCTCATTTTTTGGGTTGTACTGATCAAATACTTATTGAATAGATGATTTCTGTAATTATATTTTTCTTGTATTTTCAATTATAAACCATGATCTGTTTCTCAATCGACACCGTTATTTGGTTTGGCTTGCGTAAATGGCCTCTGTATATGTTACTTCCACTGTCACGATTCAGTTGATGCATGCAGCATGCGATTTCACATGCATTTGCTTCTGCTGGTCAATCTGTTCTTTATTTAAATTTATATTCCCCTCCCCCTCCCCCAAAACAAATGACACGAACAAAAAGCTTTAGCTCCCTTGTGTCATTTCACATAAAATGGTTGGCACACGGGTTTTAGTTTCTGAAATTTTTTTTTTTTAAATTTTTTTTTGTAATTTATTGTTTTGTGCATGCGTGGTACACGTTTGTCTTTTTCAATGAGGTGGGTATGGACGAGTTTAGGATATTTATTATCGTTCATTTGATCATGTAGAGGATCGTCAAAGAATTGTACATCGAATATTTGTTGTCTTGTTGGGCCTTTGGTTTGAATTTTATGTAATTGGCTTAAGCCATGTGGTTTGGTTTACTCGTCCAATAAGTAGATGTGTCCCAATTGCTACATTTGATTTTTGGATGTCCCATTAATCTATTTCTACTTTCGGGAGAAGTGCATTGAACCTTTGTCCTTTGAAAGCGATTTGCAATTCGAATTGTATTTATTTATTAGGTGCAGCATTGCCATAATTGCTGTTTCTTATGCCTGGCATAGTGTAAATGGTTTTTGCTTACATCTACAAGCTTGTTTATGCGTGTTTGTTCCCATGTAAATGTGAACTGACCAGGTCAACCATCTGTATTTTGAAGGTTTTTTGCTTGTTAAACTTTTTGAATTACCATTTTAGCATACGATTTTATGATATTTCTCTCTTTTAATTTTGTTTTCACTTTTCTCATTTGTCTAGCGTGACATATAGTCCATGATTGGTAGTTTAGATATGTTGATTAGTCCATCTAATATGACTACTCTTTGATGGGTTGTTTATGATTTCTATTATTTAAACCCTTCAAGTGGACCTGATATTTTTATTCGAATAAAGCTCATGGGTGAATATGTTTCTTGATTGAGAATATTCAATTTGGTATACCTAGTTTCAGTACTTTGATGACGGCATACACATTGTGAATAGGTTTCTCACATTGTTTTTAGGTGGTGGATCTTTGACTTCTGTACTAACTTGTAGCTGTAGGTCTATCTCTGCTAGCACCAAGTTGATCTTTCTTTTCTTTATTTAAATCGCATTCCTTCACTTCTTTTTCTTGGTTTTTGTAGTTATTAGTCAGCTACCCACGGTTGGACCTGTTTTAAATATTTCCTAGCTTTTCCACAAATAAAAATCTCTTGCTTGTACAAGACATTCTTTGTCCTCTGTCAACTTCATCAAAAATTTTTATCATGACACTCAAGCCTATTATCTTTGTAATTTTGTTAGAAGCTCAGTTAGCGTTGTGGTTGTTAAGACTCAGATCTGCTATTTTTTTTGAAACTATATTATAGTTGAACCTGAAGTTTTGTATAAGATAGCAATTGTGATGAGATATGTAATCACGCTGAATGGCAAGTGATCTATTTGCCTTCCAATATAGTTATGCAAGAAATCATGACTATCTAGAATTTGGATAATTCTTAGGTGGGTTTGTCTACTTATTGTTGTAAAAAATCTGTAAATATCCACCTGTTGCTTTGTCTTTGTTGTCATTTGTACATGGCCTACCATTCATGATGTTGTGCAAAAAGAAAGTGTTTTTTGGGGAATGTGATGCTGCAGGAAGACTAATTGTTTGTAAGGCAACACTCATCTTGAATAAAAAGTCAAAAGTTTATCCATCTCATAGAACTTTACGAGGATTGTGTTACATGGACCTCCCTAGGCACTAATCAAAGTTAGATTCATGTACCATTATTATGTTTGAAGATTATACTCAATGACACAGATCATATGAGATGTAGCAGAGCTTAGGTGCAATAGCCAGAGGTAGTTAGATTGGTATCATATAAGCTTGTCTTAGGTGATCAAACAAGGGAACTATAAACACTGTTGTCTATGCAAAGCAATATCACATGCAACATATTGGACACTCAAACTGGCTGGTCTGGACAGATCTCTGACATTAAACAGGCATAGTTTCATGTGGCCAAAATCTGCCCTTGCCCCTTTCCTTTGGAAAAGAAAAAAGATAATTGAATGGTGACAATTGAACAGAATGGAGGGCATGCTATCTAATTTGGGTGTAAATAAAAAACTTTAAACATCTTTAAAAGCTAAGGGTCACTGCCCGTGTGTGTACAGAAGCCTTGGCTATAAACCTTTAGGCATCGTATGCCCACAAACTGGTTGTTGTAATTGCCTCCATACTCTTATTGGGGGAAGAAATAATATCCATAGATTCATGATTACTGAAATTTTCAGACACATGAAGCAACAATGATATGAATGCACATGTTAAGGTAATGAGTTCCCATGTTATTGGATCCGATAACAAGTAATGGACTACTGTAAAATCTTTATCCATATTGTTCTTATCTATTTTTGGTCATCGAAATTAGTGTCAGTGTGGTGACGAACACTATCTTATTTTGAAGTCTTCTTCAGATTAAGTTCATGTTCGGGCTTCTAATCCCAGTTTTCCGCCATATTTAGGGTATTTGAAAATTTGAAGAAGCCTTCTAGCCCTCTGCGTGAGGTTCATGTTCAAGTAACACACTCTATGCCGCCTCAAAAGATTGAGATGTTCAAAGCCATGGAGGATTGGGCGGAGCAGAACATATTGGTTCACCTGAAGCCAGTGGAGAAATGTTGGCAACCACAGGATTTTCTTCCTGATCCGGCATCTGATGGATTTCATGATCAAGTCAAGGAGCTAAGGGAGAGGGCAAATGAGATTCCAGATGACTACTTTGTTGTTTTGGTTGGTGATATGATCACCGAAGAAGCCCTTCCAACTTACCAAACAATGCTTAACACCTTGGATGGAGTTCGAGATGAAACAGGAGCAAGCCTTACTTCTTGGGCAGTTTGGACCAGAGCTTGGACTGCTGAAGAGAACAGGCATGGTGACCTTCTCAATAAGTATCTCTACCTATCTGGACGAGTGGACATGAAGCAAATTGAAAAGACGATTCAATATCTGATTGGGTCAGGAATGGTTAGATCCTTGGCACACATTTCTATTTTTCCCATCTATGACTTCCTGTTTTTGGCAAGAACTTTCTTTTGTTCTCACATGAGAAATTAAGGAGGCTGAAACAGATCCAGGGAGGGTGGATCCAAAGTTTCTGTCATTTTTTTGGCTTTCTTTTCTAGGGTGGGCAGGTGTGTGTTGGAAGTGGAGGGATATGCAATTTAGGACATACTTATTTCTTTCCCTAAACCAAGATAATAATTGCATAAAACTTGTACCAGCTGCTCACATATTAAATGCATAAGCATATTTTGAATCGAATAAGTAGTAAAAGATAGGTTTCAGCGATTCTTGGTTAATGCGCACAAACTTATGCATATGCATGCCACAATTCAATTTCTAGGGTGGTTATGTTGCTCTTACTTTGTGGATATAAATTTCAGATATATGACTGTCATTGTTTGAAATTTTTAGAAAATGAAAGTTTTCTGTCTCTGCCATCCATTTTGTTGCTGGAAAAAGGCATTTCTATGATATGTAGAAAACCTGTGCATGAAACCAATTTGTGATTTTGGTCTCTTTTTGTCTCCCTTTTTCATCTTATCATTATTTTTTGCGTATATTGGTTCTGTTCTTATCTCGAGGGTTGAGTACTTTTAATCTTGTTTCCATAATTCTTTTGTTGATTATTTTTCTATTAATTTGGGTGGAAGGAGGTAATCTTGTGGTACCTTTTTCTGTTTTTTAACTGGCCCTCATAACTCTTGTTTTTTGAAGCAGGGGCAACACACTTAACTTCAGTCTTCAGCATGAAGGGGTCATCCCCCCTCACTCCCCTCATTTGGAGAATGGGGATATGCTGATGTAGACTGTCACAACCCTTATAATGCATACTTCCCCTATAAAGGAAGCGCACTTAATGTCGCTTATTTTTTCTCCAATATTAAGTATCACTGGGCCTTTCTTTCATTTCTTTTATCCACACCATTTTTCTATTTAAATCTGGCACAATGATGTCATCTTAAAATTGTTGATTTTGTACCCATTTTGCCTGTACCTTTGCAGGATCCAATGACAGAGAACAGTCCGTACCTTGGATTCATCTACACATCATTCCAGGAACGGGCAACTTTTGTCTCCCATGGAAACACCGCCAGACTTGCCAAGGAGCATGGGGACCTAAAGTTGGCTCAAATATGTGGCACAATTGCTTCAGATGAGAAGCGCCATGAAACTGCGTACACCAAAATAGTCGAAAAGCTATTTGAGGTTGACCCTGATGGAACTGTCCTGGCTTTTGCTGATATGATGAGGAAGAAAATTTCTATGCCAGCCCACTTGATGTATGATGGCCGTGATGACCACCTTTTTGAGCACTTCTCAGCTGTTGCTCAGCGGCTTGGGGTCTACACTGCTAAAGACTATGCAGATATATTGGAATTCTTGGTTGGCAGATGGAAAGTGGCAGATCTAACTGGCCTTTCTGTAGAGGGACAAAAAGCTCAGGACTATGTTTGCGGGTTGCCTCCAAGAATTAGAAGGCTGGAGGAGAGAGCTGGAGGAAGGGCTAAAGAAGCACCTAGTATGCCGTTTAGCTGGATCTTTGATAGAAAAGTGAACCTCCGAGTCCGTGTTTGAACAAGAAGTTAAGCTTCACTCTCCTGCAAACCACTTATCACAGAATGGTGAGTAAATGTAGAAATTTTCAGTTGTAATTTGGTTTCTACTTAAGTTGTTACATTGTGGGAAGTATTGGGAGTGTTGGTAATTTGTAGATATGGTCGTTTCACTAGATCTTCATATTAATTCGTATGTGTTTTCAAATGGATCAATGGGTATGAGTTTGTGTGCTTTCGGCCAGTGTTTGTGACTCTGTGCAATCTGTTGTTTTGTATGGCAGTTTTGATTATGTTCTCTTATGCGGAACTTAAATTTTCTCGTACCTGTTGGAATTCGGCAATGGGTTGATAATAAGATCTGTCTAATGCCCCGATTGATTAATAAAACAATTGATTGAGATAGACTAGACTGAAATTTAGACTGTTCATCAACTTTCGGTTTGATGTTTTAATTGAGTGCTGAAGTTTTTGATTTGTTTTTGCCAAAAACTCAGAGATGATTGTTTTTAGGAGGATCTTACAAAACGAGCAAGGGATCCAGGCTTAGGGTTTCATTGATTATTTATGAACTTGGAGTGGTTGGGCTTCATGAGAAAAGGGTGAAAATAGAGTTTTGTTGTGCACTTGTATTGTTATTTCAGGTCTCTATCGATCAATATAATTAATCATCTCAAATGTCACGACATTAACTTGTTTGTATATTATTTGTTTCGAACTGGTTGATTGTATATTATTTGTTTTGAACTGGTTGAGGGACTAGGTCATTGGTTCAACTGTTGGGTTAACTGGTTGAATCGGTCGTATAATTAAAAAAATATAAAAAATTAACTAAAAATTTACAATAAAAAAAAAAAAAAAATTTTTAAAGTGTAATGTTTATGTCTTTACTCTTTCCTGTTAGAATTGAATGTGTGTGTATTAACTATTTAATTTATATTCAATTATTCAATATGATAGTGTGTGTGTGTGCACTTGTAGAGGGAGAGAGGGACCGAAGGAAAAAGAAACAAAAAGCAGACCCAGCAATGTCAGAGAAAAAATAAAGACCCAAGCCATCCTTTTATCTTTTATTTTCGTGGGTATCACTGTGTCTACTGTATGCGTGGAGAGAGAGAGAGAAAGAGAGGAGAAGAAGATGAATTGAAAGATCTAGATCTGTGGAAGTGGAAGGAGACGAAGTGGTGTGTGTTTTGTGTCTCTCATGTTCGACTCTTCGAAGTCTAGATCTGTAGTGTTCGATTCTTCGAGATGTAGATTTGTTGTCTACGAGATCTAATTCATCATGTTCGACGGAGTAGATAAAGTGGAAGGAGACGGAGAAGAAGAACGGCTGCCGGTTGGTTTTAGGCTTTGAACCGGCCGGTTTTTGGAATCTTTGGTTCACCGGTTTTGGCCAAAACTGGCCGATTTTCTGGTTTTCCAAAGGTTCGATTCCTTATGCGGTCTAACTAAAGAATCAGACCGCTTGAAGTCCTGGTTCATGGTTCAACCGGTCCGGCCGGTCGGTCTGACCCGGTTCTGATAGCACTCCTAAAAGGGTGTCTTCACTCTTTTTCAAACAAACCTAGATCTAAGGTTTCCATAAATTAAAATTCTGCTTATTCTATATGGTACTATAATCAAGTAAAAATTATGGAATTCTATACGGATTTATACCTTGTGTGACACTGATTTGATTCATTTATTATTCCTATTAATAGGTCATATTATTTTTAAGTTTGAATCCATTATATATGAAGTTTTTACCATTTCCTATCGTCTAAATGTGCTTTAACAAAATGGTCACTCCTACAAGTCTATGTGGTCAATTTAACATCGCCAGTGAGACGCTAGTTAAGCATCTGTTGGAGAGAGTGAAATTGTTTAGACTAATGGGATTAGTTATTGGATCGTTTGATTGTATTAATAGTATTACACATATGACCCTGAGGTGTGGTCATATTTTATTTGATGAGTGAAATCAAAATACTAAAACTACAGTGAGTTATATAAAACTTCTAGTTTGCGGATATAGATTAATTTTGGGTAAAAAACAAAAAATTCCCTGAATTAAGCATCAGTCTCACTTCATCTTCTATATTTTTACAGGTTACACTTAATCCTCTCCAACTCGTGAATAAATTACAAATCTAACATAATTCGTTTAACGGCACAGTAATTGTACGCGCTAATTAAACATTGTTATCAAATAAATAATTTTTTTTTGAATTTTATCCTTCATCTTCTCTCTCACCTCTCTTTCTCTCCTTTCTCCAGACTTGTAAATTCATTTTTGACCAATCAAACGACTTGTTTTCTTAAATCTGTATTTGAACTCTTTGACCCCAAATTAGTTGGACTCAATCCCCCTTTTGAAGCTTTAACAAGTTTTCTAAAGTTTTGATTTTTAAGTCTCCAAACCCTAATGAGTTTCTTCAACACACACACACCCCTCCGTCATGGCATCCAAGCACTCCAATACACTGTAATAGAACCCTACAACACAATCCAAGCCTCAATTGAGGAAGAAAGGGTCGTTTGCTATGCAATCCATTTGTAAATCCATAACCACTGTAAGCGTCAAACACAAATTTGAGCACTCACACAACATGAAACTTAAATCTAATCACACAAATGAAATCCTCATAAGAAAATTAGTTTGATCAGATTGAATTTATGTATTGCCAGCCTTTGAATAAGAAACCTAAAATTCTCTCTCTCTTTATCTCCCTTGTTCTAGCCTTATCCACAACTTGCAAAGGAATTTGTGGGCTGTAGTGACGAGGTGCGACTATGGTGATAGAAGTGTGCTACTTGTAGGTTTTGTTTTTTAAAGATAAGGGTTCTATGATGATAGCATCACAAAAAAAATTTGATTAAAAATTAGGGGTAGTTTAGTCTTTTTGTATAAATTGTTACCTTTGTTAACATTTGCAGTTTGTTCACAAGTTGGTAGGGGTTAAATGCAACCCATAAAAGTATAGAGAATGAACCGAGATGAGGCTTAGTTCATGAGGTTTTTTGTTTTTTACCCATTAAACGAAAATGGTTAATTAGGTGTTGCTATTGGGCGAAGGATGATCCTCAAGCCTTTGATTAAGAACGGAAAAACTGACAAATAAGAATATATTGAGAGTATGATTAAGTTATTTTGCCTCATGGTTATTGATGATGTATGATGTAGCACGATAGAGCAGAGATAAGAAATTGATGGGTACTGATAACTCAGTGTGAGCTCCTAGGCTCCTAAGGTTTGGACAAGGGAAAGGAGATTAACATATAGAGAGTTTATAGTGGTTCACCAGCTCGGAAACTCGACTAATCCACTCTCGAGGGAGTCTCTTGCTCCTGGGGCTTATATTAATAAGGAATGAGATTATAGTGTTGTTCTGACTACAATTGCTTGTATCCCATTTGAGAGGTTCATGCCTCATATTTATAGTTGGCCCAAGGCCTCGCCTAATCCATGGTGCGATTCCTACCTATCTCTTGTAACGGTTACGCCTATCGTGTAACAGCAGGGGTGGGTACTAAGACAATTGTGACTTCTTTGCTTGGATATGCGATCGTTATGATTTGCGCAGTGCTTGAGTGGAAAGTAGTTGTCGTCTAAGCCATAATTGTGATGCCCCTAAAACTGGGGGTCTTTTGTCAATTCGTTGATCACCCATCAACCCGCAAAAATATCCGTGAATGCTGCATAACCCGACATCATGGCACAACATCCCCTTTACTGGGATCACAAACAACACCGAGTTTGGACAAAGTCTCCCTTGTACTAGGCACCCCTAAACGCATAATCTGTGTACCGTTCAATCAAATGACCCTTCCAAGGTCCAATATACCTCAATTCATACTCAAATATTGTCCATTTACATCATTTGAATAAAATGACCATTTCAAAATTTGAGATTTGAACAAAATCTACCGGTAGAAAAAAGCTACTAGAAATGTTCTACCTATAGGTTTTCCCAATTTTCTACCGATTCCATCATTTTTCAAAAATTCAATCCATTCCAACCCTTTACAATGCCAACCCAAACTCACAAAACATCAATTTTAAGCAAAATATAGCTCATATGAGTTCACTTTACAATCATTTACATATTACATGTCCTAAAAACTAGATTACATCTTAGTTTTTACAAAACATGATTCAAAAGCCACATCTTGGATTTTCTTCAATCATGAATGCCTGAATGAGAGCTGTCCACTGGTGCATGTCCCACACTTGAAATATTGTCCTTATAAAGGGTGAGCCACGCTTAATAGAGTGTCTCCTAAAAAGGCTACTCCCCAACCTAGATATATATGAAATATTCACAACCAATTCACAAATAACAATCGCTCCATTCAAGAATATGGATTTCAACAATGGAATCCTCTATGCCATGTCATGCCATGATATGAGATGAGACTTATACATGCAACTCAATTCGAGCCTTATCGGCTCCCTAACACATGCAACTCTGTGTGTATGAATTCGGGTATTCTAAGTCCCCGCAATTGATGCTGCACATCCAATGACTATTATAAATCCCGAGTCTTTCTTGGGGTGAGTATTTATGAACTCACACCAACGGGCACCCAATCGACACGGCATTAATGGACTTTCACCAACGGCTCCGTGTGCGCTGACACCAATGGCTCCGCATGCATTTGCAACATAAATGTACAATTGCATTTCATATCCTTATGCAACTAAGATCTATTTTGCAATTTCAACATCATTTTCCATATGTTATGTGCACATAATGAACAACATTCTATCTCATTCAACATTCCCAATTGTCAATTATATCATAAGCATATAATTACAATTTACAACATCATCAAAGCATGTTATTCCAATTTCATCAAAACAACATACTTCAATCATTCAAGCATTTTATCAAACACCCCCATACATCATTCAATGCATTTTATCAATACCCAAATATATCATTCAAAGCATTTTATGAAATACCCACATATATCACATTTCTCAAGAAATCACATCAAGTAATTTCTACATACCTAATTTAAGCTAGAATTGATTTTACCCATTTCTATACTCTCTTTCCACATTTCAACAATCATAGATAAGTGTCACACAAGAGATTGCACCTCTAACACCCTACTCATTCCATATAACAACCCAAGGTTAGAAATAAACCTAGTTAGGAAAGAACCCTACCTTTTGAAGTGTGAAAATAAGTTGTAGAAACCTTCAAAAACACAAACCAAGCTCAAACCTTGATTTCTCCCCAAATCCCTTTTTGAATCTTCGGTGAAATCCGTGATATTTGGTACATATTCATAGCTCTCGTCGTGTAGAGGAACTTTAATTCTTTACCCAAGTCTAATCGACCAAAGGAACGTCGTAAACAGAGTTGACTCAAGGTAAATTGAGGCCTAAAGCGGTAATACTAAATGAGGCTTTTCATTTTTAG